CGTTCCTGGAAGGAATCGAGAGGGGATTTTGGCTTTGGTCCTAACTGTTTAAAGGTTTGACCAAATAGGGTTTTGAGACGATCCTAACTGTTTAAAGGTTTGATCGTCCAATTTGTATCGAGAGGGGATTTTAGCTTTGGTCCTAACTGTTTAAAGGTTTGACCAAGTGAGAATTTTGTGAGGGAAGATTGATCCAACGAAGTGATCTCATCTCATCTCAGCAAAAGAGTATTCGGAAATCACCGTGGGGATGTAGTGTTTATCACTTTGTTTGTAATGATCGGGTTATCCCTAAGAAAATTACATATAGCATTCTTTCGGGAACTTCTGTTACATAAACCATCCACCCCCAGCTTTCTTCACGAAACTGGGTCTAACATCATACCGAGTTACATGACCAGGTTATCCTTAAGAATATTACATGTAAAAATTCTCCAGGAACTTCCCGTCAAGAGTGGGAAACAGTTTATACTTATATACCTATTGGAGTATCGAGGAGCAGTTTATACTCGTATACTCTTTGGAGTGAGGGGAAACAGTTTATCCTATTGGAGTATCGAGGAGCAGTTTATACTCGTATACTCTTTGGAGTGAGGGGAAACAGTTTATACTCATGCACCCAATGGAGTTACATGAGGAAGCAATTTATACTCGTATACTCTTCGGAGTTAGGGAAAAACAGTTTATACTCTTGTATCCCATGGAGTATAGTCGTCTTTACTTGGCTTGTTTTGCCGTTATGACTCCGGAGTCAATTAAGGCTTGGATTTTATTTTTGAGTCCGAAGCAAATTTCGGTGGGATGAAGAACCCTTCTGTGGTACGCACAGTAGTTTAGATCCGCAATCCTCTTAGCTCCCTCCTGATCTTTAATAGGTGGTAGCTCGATTTTGTCATTGGCGAGGAGGTATTTTAATATGGTTGGAGCTTCATCATTTTTGAAAGAATACTCCTTTTGAAACTTTGGATCGAGAGCCGCATTCCCAGCGATTGCAAATGTTGTCAGTCGGCTTCTCTCAGCTTTCTTTCTTTTAAGAAAGTGTTTAGCTTGTTCACCGCGTATTTTTAAATCTTTCCAAGTTTTGGATGGTACGACCCCCAGGGCTTCCAGGACATCGATGGAGAGATTATTGTGGCACGTTTGCAGGATAAACTCCTCTGTAACAGGATCTCTACAATTCATTGTCTTGTCACGGAAGCGCTTGATAAAATTATCGACTAACTCTCCGTCTTTTTGCTTCTCATCTAAAAGGGTTCCGATTGACACTTCGGTGTCATCATCAAAGAAATTGCTGAGGAACAAACTTTCCATATCATCCCAGCGATTGATGTTCCCTGGCTTGAGACGTCGATACCAATCGAAGGCGGGCCCACGAAGGGTACCAACGAATGACCGGACCATTAAAGCCTCATTTTCAGAGATCGTGCCCAAATGAGACTTGAAATAAATCAAGTGCTGAGTAGGCGAGCTCTTCCCATCAAATGGTGTGAAGTTAATCAGATTGAACTTTGCCGGGTACGGTATTGAACTTCTTGAGCCGTCATCAAAGCGTTGACTTTGTTTTCAAGCTCTTTCATTTTCCCGTCATCGTCTATGTCTTCATTCGAATGACGTTGAGGAGAATGAGTTAGACCACCCCCTGTAAGAGGTGCCATTGAACCACCCCCAATATCGTTATTGGGAGGGTGCGTTAGACCACCCCCAGCGTTATTGCTATTAGGAGGTGTATCAGCCATAATGACTTCATCCACTTCTGGATCACTGTCATCTATAACATTCTGAATGTGGAGGCTGGATTCAGGAGGTTGAGACCATTGAGCTAGCAATTCTCTCATTTGTTGGATAGCCAACTCCATCTCTGTCTTCATCTCAGCTCTAATTTCTTCACGTTGTTTGGCTAGAGCTTCTTGAAGTATTTGAACGAACTGATCAGAGGTGATTGTGAGTACTTCTCTGGTTTGCCCTGTGCTAGATACTGTATCATCCGAAGCGATCGCAGAACAAGTGTCCGAGAGCTCGTCCTCTGATGACTTTCCTTCATGCATTCTCTTATAGTCCCTATGTCTGATGGCTCTTAACTGGAGTCGGGACATCCGTTGGGCAATTCTTGAGTTAACTTTTCCTCCCGGTGAAAAGTCGGGATTTGATTCACTTGAATGCCACTTAGATTTTCCTTTATCAGTCATATTGATGGTGACTTCAGGGAATTCATCCTCTTGAACAACAAGCTTCTTGCAGAAATGTCTCGGCTTGGGCTTTGACATTTTGGTGAAAAGTCTCTGGAACATTGGGACTCTTTGCGGGATGGATTCTCGTTTGGAATAGTCATATTTCGACAATACTGCTTTAATGAGTCGTGCACAGGAACAATGAGAGTTTATTTCTTGAATAATTCTCTTTCGAAATTTATTCAAACCTACAGCTTGATAGTACGATTCATCGGTATGATTGCCGGAAAATCCTATCATCTGTTGGTATAACCTCCCATGTATGACGATGTCTTTTGGTGAATGCGTCTTCTTCTGGGGGTGTAAAATCTTGTTGGCATTCTCAGGACAATTTATTACTGTCTTTGAGCGATCCAAGGTTATGTCGGGAGTCACACATTTAGAATCACCCCCTGGCAGGTATGGAGTCTTAACGGGCTCCGAATGCTGATTTTGCATAATTCCAGACTTTGGAATCCAAACTTTGCAGAGTTTTGGTGGTTCTTTGGCCACCATCTCCTTGTTTCTTTCTCGTCTTTGTTGTAAGAGAGCACGGACATGAGCAGCGTTTGCACGACGCTTTTGTATACGTTCTTTGAGGGTCGAGCGCGCCCTTTTGACGAAAGTCCATTCATCCGTCGTTAATTTAGCAGAGATATGAGTGATTGGTCGTTGAGACAACTGAACCACTCGATGCCTCCTTGACTCTAAGTCCGCGTGATAACGAACTCCGTCAGTTTATTCCAAGGCCTTAGCCATTTGGCGAGCGCGGCGCTGACGTTGTCTCTGATGAGCCCTCTTCGTTAGTGCCGACGAGCTTTGATTCAATGACTCTTTAATTGGAGAAGATTCATTATGAGCAGAGAGGTTGCGAGCAACAATCAAGCGAGAGTCTTCATCTATAGTGTTCGACGGAGTCAAAAACTTGAAAACCTTCTTAGAAGATGAAATCTTCCTGCATTTGTGAGGCGAGGAAGACTTTAAGGATGAGAATGACAGATATTCCTCAAACTTTGCTTGGTTGAATTCATATTCAACCATGGACTCAACCAGTATCTTGATCGGCTGCGACACGACGGTCTCGGCAGCGAGACCGTTGGCTCTTACTGTGGTCGCCAGCTTGTTTTCGTCAAAAGTTGGTCTCGTTGTGGAATTCATTATATCTTCGATCGATTACAATAAATTCAAAGTTGTGGAATTCATTATATCTTCGATCGATTACAATAAATTCAAAAGAGATAGTCTTTTTATAAGACTTATTTTACACAACAAAATGAAAATTATAACTTTTTAGAAACAAACACATGATCGTTATTTGGATCGCTGCTTGCGTGAGATCTTTGCCTGTGCCGGGAGTGCTTTGACTCGTGGACCACCGAATCACAGATTCTGATTGAATTGTGAGGGGTTTAGTGATTCTTCCTTCGTTTATTGAAGTAGGAATTTGAAGTGAAGATCTTATCAAAGTAAGACGATCACTCTTCTTAAGATCAAGTCAAAGCTCGAATCTCAAGGAATGGCCAGAAGCTCAAGTACTCTGCTCTGTCTGCTCCAAAATGCTCAACCTTCTGCTCTCTGATCCGCCCCTTTCAAAAATGATCTCAGGGGGGTATTTATAACCCCTGAACAAACAGTGTTTCCGAGACAGCATTTGCTGTCTCGGCTGCCGAGACAGTGTTTGCTGTCTCGGCGGTCGAGACAGTGTTTACTGTCTCGGGTTCCGAGACTAAACACTATCTCGCTGGCGAGACAGTAAAACACTGTCTCGCTGCGAGACAGTAAAGACTGTCTCGCTGGCGAGACAGTAAAGACTGTCTCGCTGGCGAGACAGTTCATATCTGTCTTGATTTTCCAAAACAGTATGAGATCAATTCTTGTGATTTTTTGAGTGATCCTCTCTATGTTTGGGATATCTATTAGCATTTTTTAACACCTACATGAACCAAATAAGCAAATCATAATGTAGGCTGCATACACAAAATAAAGACCAATCATCATTGCCTAATGCCGAAAACCCACATGACCTGTGAATATTGATGCAGCAAGGTAAAATCCAGTTTTTTGCTCAAATGATAACCCCAAGTTAAGAAAGATAGCCATACCAATGCACCATCGAGTACAAATTGCTATCTTTATAACGTATTTCTGGTCACAACTTGTGTCCAACCTGAATCACATGCACACAAACACAGTAATAAGTGAGGCATCCTCAGAGAAAGACACAGATGAAAGTCAGGGAAAGACACAGATGAAATACAAGCATGGACACAACAATACATCTCTGAAGCATCCTCAGAGACATGTATATGTGTACAACAGCTCTGAAGCATGGACACAGCAATACATCTCAATGACAAGCAATAGAACTTAATCACATAGCATGAATACAGCAAACCAGATTCAGAATACTACACCTAAGATGTTCATAACATGTCCCTGAGGTTATGTTTACAAAAGTACATAGTCACTGATTGGTGACTAATTAAAAGCATTGTTATCTTGTAGCACTCTATAATCAGTGCTGATATATTTAGAAACATGACCAGTTGTTCTTCTACTTTAACACCACGTGAATCCTGCAGTAGGCCCGTAACACTCATTATTCTAACCAGATTTTCGAATGCATGCGGCCTCATTCTAAGATAATCTCTACAACTTTGACTATAGCCGAAAAATACACGGTTGATGTGGTCATTTCTAGACTCTATCTTTTTCTGTTTTCCCTCCCTATGATGATAGGTGATAGTTTTTTTTCTAGCACGAATTCTCATTAAACAAGTCAACACAGTAACGATGGCAGACATAGTGGCATTACTTGACATCCTCATTAGTGTATCGTCATCCATCTCATCCATCTACAACAGTTAAATAAACATTTTTAAACACATGCAAAACCTTAAACGCAAAGTCATCTCTATAGCTAACCATTTATAAATAAAATTAGAGAGAAAATATTGTTAAATATACGATTTTAACAGAAATTATCTCAGCGTATAGCAGTAAACATACATCAGCATAATACTAACGTCTTCAACTAGCTGATAAAAAATTTGGTATTGTTTGAATATAACCAAACCTCAAACACAATCAAGTATCACAAAGTTTTAAAAGATTATACCTTTGCTATGTTTTCGAGCAGATCCGAAGGGCCTTTAGGTGATTTCTTAAGTAGGAAAAGCTATACGAGAAATCAACACGTAAGATCTGCAGAATAAGGTGAGGGGGTGAACCGAGGTCAATGATCTTTAAGAGCAAATCGCATCGCAAGAACTACGTCGACAAGCTACATGAAAACCCCCAAAATCACACTGCAGAAGCCGTTGTAAACCTCCAAACCCTAAAGAAATTTCATCTCCAACTCAGTAGCTAGGGTTCAGCAAAGAGGAAATCAACAGGGGGATCAACATTACACAAAAATATGCCCACGTTTGAGCAAAAATTCGTTGATTATTTTTGTAAACGGCGGGAAGAGGAAGAGGGAAATGGCGAAGCGGGGGGTAACGAGAAGCGGTGAGCCCTTTCATTTCCAAAGACCCATTTCCGAGCTTTTAGACAGGAGAGGCTGAGAAGCTGAGCTGGCCTTTCATTTCCAAAAAATTGCCCATTTCCGAGCTTTTAGACAGGATTTCGCCGTTCCAAAAAAAAGCACTATTTGACAAGGTTTTAGGAAACCATTTCTCAAAAAAAAAAAATGAAACAAACGCAGGTTTTGGATTTCTAAAAACACAAAAATGTTACTTTTTGTTCCAAAAACCGGGTTTTCCAAAAAAACACCCTCAAACAAACACGCCCTTTGAATTTTTCCGCTCACATATGAATTCAAGGGAAAACCATAGAAAGTTAAAATAAGAAAAATAAAGCTGATCTGGCACAGCTTCAACGTTCAGGTCACTGCTAGACATCCAAAAGACAGCCGAGAATTCTGTCGGAATACAAAATTTCACCTAAATATTGTATTTATTTACGATCATAAGTCTTATCTCGCGCCGAGCTTTAATAAATTAAAAAAAGGTAAGCACTCACATCAAAACTTTTTATAAGCAGATAAAAATATAAGATTCTCAAACAATTATAGAATCCAAAATAGCCCCTTCAGCGGGGAAGAATCCAATTAAAGATTCCCCTGCATCTTTCAATCACGATCTCAGCGTGCGAACCGAATCGAACGGCCCACGACTTCACCGTCCGAAATCCACGCCGACAGCAACACGATCACTTCGAACCCAGCCGAAGGTATCCGCACGTGTCGAACTACCGCATCTCGGGCCGTACGCACTCCTCAACCGACCCAAATAAATACCGCCCAACGGGTCGCTGCTGAGCGTGGCGGGCCCCTAACCCCCGAAGGCGGCGGCATGCCACCTAGGAAATACTCCACAGCGGGAGCTCCGAGTCCGGCAAGGGAGCACAGCGGCGGGGTGCAGAATGGCGCGGAATCTCGGGGACGATATTCCAGTTGGATTCTCGATCGGACGCGGGGGCATGGGGTCGCGAGCGAGGACGGCGGTCGAGATCGAGAGAGGCGAGGGGAGGGCGGCGAGCCGAGCGTCCGTCACCTGTTAACTGCCCGGACAAAACTGGGCTCGGCTGCGATCTCTGCCGAATTATTCTCGAGTTCGGGCTTTATATTACGAGGGGAGGTCGGGGTTATTTCGGGAATTTGAAAGTTATTATGATTTTATGTTAGGATTTTGAATTCATATTTTCTCCTCTGAGTTTAGTTCTTGTTTATGTTAATATAGGGGTTGAGAGCTGCTGGTAAATTTTAAAATTAAAACATCGATGTCGGTCCTTCCCTTGACAATTTTGAGTTTTTCTCTGGATTTTGTGGTTTGAATCTTGATTCGGAGATTGGTTTTGCTTATTAGATGAAGTTTTTGAGGTCCATTTTATGTGGTGGATTTTAATTTTTTTTTTAAAAATCTTATATTTGTTTTGGAGTTTACTGTTATGTTAGTATTGAGAGTTCAGCAACAGTTGTTACTTTTGAGTGAGGAAATTTTAGGTGTTCTCTGGTCTAAATTTTCCTGGGTTTTGGGTTTAATCAATGTTGCTTTCTGCAGTAGAGGGGATTTCCCTGTAAATTTTGCTTTAAAAAAAACTGCCCAACCTGTCAATATATTTTCTCCTTGACATGCTTTGAAGTTTGACATGGAGCTTTGGATTTACCCCTTGTTTCAATTACTCTTTGTTATAATAATAATTGGGTTTTGGAAATTTGGTTGTTTCACCAGCTGGATTAGCCTTGTTATCCTAAATTTTATTCATTTTTATTACAGACGTATCAACCGATGGGAAATGGTGTTTTGTTGTGCTCTGGGTTATCCCCTGCTCTCCCAAAATAAATGTCCAATGGAGGAGCTTAAAAACCCGACTTTTATCTCTGTGCCCGTCGAATCCGATCCCATTCTACTACGATATTGGAACCCAGCCTGCAATATCTCAGGTTTACTTATTGAAGCTCTTCTCCGTTGATCGGAAGGGATTATTACATGGTAATTTTCCTGTTATTCTTTGTAATGGAGGTAGAGTTGGATTTCTTGGTACAATTTCTTATGAGATTGTGTGAAGTGTTGCAGATGTTACTCATGTTCTCTCTGAACTTGAGCTCTTGATTGATAGAGTGAAGGTTTCGACGACCCCTGATGGTAGAGTCATGGATCTCTTCTTCATAACAGATGGCATGTGAGTGTGGATACACCTATTTTTTGAGCATTCGTGCATTTCTTCATAGAACTAAAACTTATGTATGTGTTTTCTAGTCGACATGACTTTTTTGAGTTTAACATGAGATAGTTTGTTATTAGACTTTAACTTTGAAGTAATGAGGGAGCCAGAAACTGTCTACAGCACAGAGAGAGTAAACAGAGACTGCTATGTCTCCCTAACTCTGTTAAAACCGCGTCTATGTAGCACGGATATGGGTACAATGTGGGCATCGTAACTTCTCAAGAAAGTAGGACACAGATTGAGGAGATATGATAGCATGAGCTTAGAACGGAGTTCCGAGGCCTTATATATTAAAGGGAGAGTCGTATCCATGCATATATATATATATATATTATATATATATATATAATATATATATATATATAATAATATATATATATAATATATATATATATATATATATATATATATATATATATATATATATATATATATTATATATTATATATGTTCTTGAAAACTACAGCATGCCAAAAAAACTGTTCTTGATAATATAGAACATGCAATGATGGTAAAATTTTATCGTACCATATGTTTAAATGACTTCAGAAAGACATAGTGCTTGGCTTTTCAACTTTTTTTAAAATAGACAAGACATACTAAACTTATTCACAATTTTATACAACTTGATTACTCGACAACATCTTTTCTGCTAAAAGATGGTTAAGATAACAAATATGTGTATAAATGAAAGCAAATAGATTTGTCAAATATGTAATGTAATGAAGTAAGTGTCTCGGAGTGTGAGATTCATGTTCAAAAAGTATATAAGAGGTGTTGTAAATTAAAACATGTATTGTATACAATTGAAAATCCCCAAAATTTGGAAAAGGTTTTGTTGCTGTTGTAATCATATAATTGAAAACACATCTGACTAAATGCATAGCACATATTCAAGGAGTGGTTAAGTAGTTTCATATTCAAGGAGTGGTTAAGTAGTTTCTTTGAGTAAACAAGGGAAGAAGAGATGGCAGCACAATTTATACTAGATTTTCAGCTTATTGCTTCTTGTGGTTAGATTTCCTCATACACATAGTTACGATTCTTACATCTCTACAGTTGTTTCTCGCTAAATATTCAGTTTCTCTGTGTTTGTTATCTGATACCTTAAATATTTTGGTCCAGGGAGCTCTTGCATACTAAAAAGAGACAAGATGAGACATGCCAAAAGTTGGATGAAGTTTTGGGAGACTCATGCATCAGTTGTGAGTTTCAATTAGCCGATAGTTTTCAGCAGGGTTTCTCTTCCCTTCCTTCTGCTGTTGCTGAAGGACTATTTCATCCGGAGATACCTGACGGCGATATCGGTTCACAAGCACTTAGTCCAGATATGATGAAGCTTAAAAACATGAACTTGGTCATAGACAATTCCTTAAGCCCTTCTCAAACTTTGCTTCAGATTCACTGTGCTGATCAGAAGGGTCTTCTCTATGACATTTTGAGGACTTTGAAGGATTGCAACATTCAGGTACCACTCAGTATTAATTTACTGCATGACCCTCTATTTTGGATTGGAAGTTGAGTATCAAACTACGTCAAGCAACTTGGAAAATATACCTCTTGTCAATTAAGAAGGAAGGAAAAAAGGTTAATAAGGTAAAAAAGACGAGACGTGCCATAAATTTTACATTTCATCGTAACTCCAGTGACTCCAGAAAATGGAATTTCCCATGATTGATACGATAACAACAATAAAGCTTACATGAATCCTAACCTTCCATCAGTTCTATTAAGCATATCTTCTTACTAACTTAACCACTATCTTATATGCTTCTTACATTATACCTATTAAGTTTTCTTAGGTTACCATTAGTCATTTCTCCATATTAATTATAATCTTACAACTTCTTATAATTGACGCACTTAGTGACCTCCGTTGCATATGAACAAAGTATCTCAATCGGTTCTTTCTTATTTTATCCTCAACATCTAATTTAGTAATAATTTACTCATTTTTTTCCCTATTGCTTAATATATATCCACACCTCAATAGCATTCTTATCTTGTTCATTTGTCAGTTTCTTAGTATATTTTTTTGATGATTTTGTACAGTCATGCACACGTATATCCTTGTCAGTCTGAGTATTTAGTCTGACACTGTTCCAAACTATGTCCTTCAATGGAGGTTGTCTCCCGTAGCTGGATTTGTTTGTTAATTTATAGCGTGCAGCTTACCTAAAAGAGTATGGTTATGTGATATCATCAAAAGATGTCATGCTCAATTATTCTTCCAATTATTGAGGTTATACAACAAATAAGGACAAACATTTAACTTGACCTACACATCAAGTGGCAGCTAAAAGAGAGCTTTAACTAATATGGTTTGTTTCTTTCGGACTTTTCTTATTAGATAACTGGGCAGTTTGTTTCTTCCTGACCTTTCTTATGATGGTTAACTGTTTTGATTATTATTAATGTTATTATTATTTTGTTTGCTTAGATACATGCAGGGGCAGTGAACAGACCACGATGAATGCTAAAGACCCTTAATTTGAATTTTGCCCACTGTTTCATTGCACAGGTCTTTCCACTTCCCACGTAAATAACGCAGCCTTGCCAACGGGTTGTTTGGAATTTGTCGCACTTGCATTTGCATGCGGTTGAAACATTTGAGTCATTACAACAGTTGTTTCGCCGCAGTTGATATATGTGATTGCCAATAAGTAACATCCAATAGAAACATACAACTTACGCAAATTTGGGTGTAAGTAGCGGTTGCGACCTTTTCTGAGTTGCAACTGAGGTTTAAATTATAACTCCAACTGTGACCATACCAACAACTAGAACTAAAGTTGCAAGTTGTAAAATTTTAAAACTGAACCAAACAACTACAACTGCAATCTTAGACTCTTAGTAATTGAAGTTGCGTGCGAGTGATATTTGCATTGCAATCACAGTCACGTCAGAAAAAAAAAACAGACTCTAAGTTGAACCAAGGATCCTTTAGTGGTCTTTTTAACAGTGAACAATTGTTCAACACGGATGCGTATTTCTTTTTTCTTTTTCCTTACTTCAAGTGTTATAGAACATTCTAACTTGGCTTTTTCTTCAATGCAATTTAGATAGCGTATGGACGATTCCTCTCATACGAGAAAGGGTACCGCGAAATAGACCTTTTCATCCAACAAGCCGATGGTAAAAAGATAATTGATCCTGAAAAGCAAAACACAATTTGCTCTCGGTTAAGATTGGAGATGCTCCATCCTTTAAGAGTGATAATCGTCAGCCGTGGCCCAGACACCGAGCTCTTGGTTGCTAACCCCGTCGAATTATCAGGAAAAGGAAAACCTCGAGTATTTTACGATGTCACACTTGCTCTCAAAACACTTGGCATCTGCATCTTCTCGGTAACAAGTCTTACCCCCATCGAATTCTTCTGTTATTTACAGATTTCATGAAGATTTGATGTTGATGCTGAACTTTGTCTCTTAGGCTGAAATTGGGAGACATACTACATCAGAGAGGCAATGGGAGGTGTACAGATTTCTCTTGGAGGAAACGAGAGAATATCCGTTAGCAAATAGGCAAGCTAGAGATCAGATTGTGGATCGAGTGAGGAGGACGTTAATGGGGTGGTGAGAGCTTTAAGATTGGAGATAAAATCAATGAGCTTGCCACTGTGTGATATTTAGTTAGTTTACTTTTTCAAGTGTAATATATCGTGGGACTTTCATCTGTACAGTGTAATCACCATCCTATGGCAATAAGATGTTCCCATGTCTCAGTATTCCTTAGTCTCCGCTATTTGGGATCGTCTTGATCTGTCGACGGTGTTCCCCTCAATATTCCTTAGTATCGTTATTTTGAACTTACTTACTACCATGTAGTTTTATCCGTTGCAGATGGACCTCTAGAGTTAATTTTTTTACTGTTTCACCCTCAAGATACTCATTTTTCGGTACGATTACTTTCGGAGTTTTTACCGGATGTGGGTCTCTGATGTAAAATGAATACGGTTTGATATGTGCATTGTGTTGCATCATGTGGCACATTGCCCTTTCATCTTTTGTTACAGGAGGAGGCAGGGGTGATTGCGGGTAAGATAAGTTCTGCATTATAAACCCTCCGTTCAAAAATCGAAATTTTTGTATATCGAATTGAATGACCGTGGTGATAAATTTGGCTCAAACAAGGACTTTCCAAGGACCCCACAATACCCAATAAAGGATGCAGCCAAAAAAATTTGGTAACGGGGGAATCAGAATCTTTTACGAAGATTTGTACTGTAATTGACTACCCCTAAACATATGGGAGACGAGTAATTGATTGCCCCTAAACATTTGTAGCAAGACCCCTCGACCATCGAGCAAAGTCATCACTCTATTATGGGAGTCTGGTTTTCGCTACAACATACTGAAATATCAAGGATCTCTGTGTAACTAACCTCCTATTTTACATGAGGTATATATATTGCACAAATCCTATAGAGATAGACTAACGATGAAGTCTTTAGTGTTACTTATGTCAATAATCATGCTGAAGGAGATGAACCTCACTGCTTCTTTTTCTTGTTAACGTACGTAGCTAACTAAGATGACATAGTATTTTCAATGTACTCTACTAATTAATTCAATAGATAGTGACAATCAAATGCTTTTATACCTTCCAACAATATTTGAAAGATGAGTTGGTGGGAAATTAGGATTCACTGACAAGTCTGCATCAGATAGCCTGTAGACAATGAGCTTCGGCTCTATGCGGATGCGAAAGGTGATGGCGCTAATAAAATCCGCACATTTCAAATGGCTGAAATTTGAGGTGGACCCTTTTTCTGAGTCACGCACTATTTTGACAATAATTGAGCGAGCAGTGGGTCCTTTGTACTTGTTTCTGTGGGGTCCGTCTGACGTGGGTTCTGATTTTATTTTCTTGGTCAGATACAGTTGCTTGCTTTAGTAATTTAATTTTTCAGAGGGCATGAAATTTTTTATTGTTTTTTTTGTAGTTTACAGTGTGCTGTGATCTTGCGGTCCCACCGCTTCCGGAGACAATGCTTTGTGCTGGTCAGTGCTACAGACTTTGTACGCAATCACAAGCAAGTACTTTACGATCATTTGTTTTGTTTAGGGGCTGTTTGGTTGATTTCCTAGAATCAAAGAAAAAGAAATAGAAAAAGTATATTACTAAAATTTATTTTCCACTTATTTTTTCAAAAAAAATTTATAAAATGAGTTTTTTTTAAAAAAATTGTTTCACATCCTCCAATAAGATGATGACAATCATCTCATCTCATCTCTTTTCTTGCTTTTAGGAGGTGAACCAAACAAAAAGAAAAAAAACCTATTATAGAAAATATGTTTTCTTTAATAGATTTTCTTTTTTAAAACCAACCAAACAGCCCCTTAGTGGCAGTCAGCTGGATTTTGGCTGTAGGGGTGCAAAGGGATAAGAAGATGAGTGTCAGATATTATACTCATTATATTTGTATCATCTGCCAAATTTTTGAGTCCATTAGGATAGATAGGGTTTTGTTCTAAGTAAAATTCATAATCCATTTATGCCAAAACTGATTATGGATGCATATGAGATCCATGGGATAAGGATATATATATATATAATATATATATATATTATATATATTATATATATATATATATATGTATATATATATATATATATATATACATATATATATGGATATAAGACAAAACGTGTAAGATGATAATATATATGTTGTGTGATGGATTTATTTCAGATCTTGTTTGTTTGGCAAGGATACGCAGACAAGGAAAGAAATAAGTTTTTAGTAGGATAATTTTTTCTATGAGAAAAAAGGTTTTTGCTTATTGATGCCCCAAATCTCATTTATTTGAAAAGCTGTCAAGAAACATGAAATTTAGCATTATAGGTCGGACGAAATTTAAGAATTTTAGCAACTTAGGTTTGTCATTGAATGGTCTTAAAAAATGAGTGGAGTGGAAGAGGATGAGCTGAAGACAGAGATAAAACAAGTTTGATCAGTCCTCCCTAAGAAGATCATTTTCAAAAGAGAGTTAATTTAGTCCCACATCAAGAAGAAAACCAAGGTCTTGAGAAGAACTTTTGGTTCAGAATAGGATAAAAAGGCGCCAGCCAAGCATTTCGCTTTCTTACAAACTAGTGTGTACCCCGTGTAAAGCACATATCCCTATTTTTTTTAACATTGCATGTCCAACTTGCCTCACTCTAAGGTTTAATACATTTGATTTGATTATTGTATGTTTAAAATTAGAAATCATACTCACCGTTCTATACTTAAAGGAGGGGTGCAAAGATTTACTGCTCATAGTACAATAAAATACAGTAGTTTAAACAGTAAATTTACACCCCTATATTTAAAGGAGGATAGAAAGGTTGATGTTTATGTAGTATTTACTGTAGCATAAACAGTAAATCTTCGGATTCTCCTTTAGGTATAGAGGAGTAGATATCAATAAAATACTACCCATGAATATACAACAACAATAACATAGAAAAAGAATAAATAGAAAAATCTTACAAAAGTGGACTAAAAATCTTGAAATCTAAAAACCTTGAAATATAACCCGTAAAATTAGAGTTAACATGTGTGGACGACTTACATTTTCAAGATAATACTTCAAAATAGCAGTTCACATGATGATCACAAACAGAAAAATCTCGTGACAATGCCAAGATGCAACCGGAAACATTGAAAAGGTTACAGTCCAAACTCAATCAACCTAACAAAAGGAAATGTTCCCATGCAAATGAAACTAATAGAACAATTATAAAATTTAAGTACAGTTTCTTACAAAGAATAATAATAACGATTAATTACAGTTCTTTTTCTTGGCTGTTACCGCGGACGTAGGACAATTAGTCCCATGTCATAAATCAATAATAAAAATACACACAAAGAGCAAAGAAATGAGGGTGGCTACCTGCATTTTACCCAAAAATTACAGAAGGGACATTTTTAGACGAAGCCGCCCTCTGCCCACAAAGAGCCAGACTTATGACCGATATCCTTGCTTGCTGAGCTTTCGTTGTAGTAACCGTTATCACTCTCATTCTTGACATCATCCCAACCGGCCCAATTATCACCACCATGATTCCCGTTTTTATTATTAGGCTCTTCCTTCTGATTCTTGTCGTCCCAATCGTCCCACGAGCTGACGGAGCTGTAATTTCTGTTCGAATGGTTTTTGAAAGAATTATTATCAAAGCCCTTGCTCCCCTGTCCAAAATTTTGGTAGTGGCCATTCTGTGTGTTGTAGTTATTTTGCCAATTATCCCCTTTCCAGTTGCTGATACCTCCCTCTTTGGTGTATTCCTCGACCTTTTGTGATGCTATCGCCATAACGCCTTTCATGATTCCCCATGTCTTTTGCCCGATCTCGTTCACCTTTTGGTCATAGCCGCCCTCTCTCACCTGTATATTTTGGACAAGTGCAATTTCAAATATGTCCACATTGAATGAACGAGAAAAATAAAACATCCTATGTTTTCATACTTTCAATATATTCCCAGTAATTTTATGAACCACCAACATCATGAACGGATTACAGACTGGCTGGCAGAAACAAGAGTTTAAACACATGACCTTTCATGACAGAGGAAGATAAGCTC